TGTACACGTATACAAATGCATCAATGGCCTAATTAATCACGATATGGACTTGATTAGACAAGAACACTTCATAGGCATAATACACGTAACAAAGGCAATTTTAGATTACCACGTGTCAAAAGAAATTGGGGGAAGCAAAGAACACAATATCATGCCGTTTCCGATTTTAACTCCCTCAGTCAGACGATCAAAGACTCAAGGAATGTAAATAGTTTTAAACGTAATGTTTTTAAGTTTTTAATATAGCTACTTACGTTTAATTTCTACTTATACCTATTTTTAATTTTTTATGCATTTTTTGTATCTTTTTAATCCCTTTGTAATTTTATAGCTTTTTTTTGTTTTTTCTTTTATGAAAAAGTTTCCTCAATAAAGATGATTATTATTATTAGCGTACTCAGCCCCATCGGGGTTTGCACTTTCCAACAGTCATGTTTCCTATCGTTAGTCCAACTTGTCAAATACAAAACAAATTACACTGTTATTCGGATAGAGGAATTTTTATTTACGTTCACGCACATTAACACATACAGATAAAAACCGGAATTCAAAGCGTGATCACTAAAACTTCACTCTCATAGCCTAAAAGAAGGCTAGTTAAGTACTATGGAAACTCTTTCAGTGTAAAAAGTGTAGCTAAGTGTACTAGAAGAGCTAATCAATCAAGTGTGTCAGCTAACCAAGCAAATGAAAGACAACGAGTGCGTGTCCATGGAAAAAAATTCGTCAGTGGCGGATCTCAGAACCCGAGAGAGGACGGGGTGGGGGGATCCCCTATTTTTGGACCAGTTCCGAGGCCCGTATGGCTCAACAACTGAGATAATTCGTTTCGACTAGAAAGCGGGAGCTAACCCCCTTTAGCTTTAAGGTCTCGATCTGTCACCGCAGGAGTAGAGAGGACTGCACCAGGTGATTCTACTCAGCCAATCCGTGCTCATAATTACCAACCGTTTTACAGTAAGCTAACGGCATTTGCAAGACAACACGAAAAGGCTGGATCAAGCTTTAACCATGGGATATTTTCCACAAAACACCGGCACAATAGGAAAGAGGTAGCGAAGCATGGACGAAAGTTCTCTGAATTTAAAATATTAAGGAAAGAGGAAAAACTTGGATTTTTCCCCCTCCTCAAGTCTTCCTTAAGTAAATGGAAGTACTGAATCGACGTTGTTAATTTCAACGTCTTTATACCTAAAACCTAAGTGCCGAAGTACAATAATAAGCTAATACATAAATAATGACAACTTTTTACAATCTCTAATGGACAAATTTGAAGAGCCCTAGCATGTAAGTGCCAATAAATTAAACCTAAAGGATACTTTTTCAATCAATTTGAATGTCTGGACTCGTCCTTTTTTACTCAATTCAACTTGTAGTTACAATGGCCAGCAACAGAGATGCAAGGACATAATTCCGTAATCATTTTGGTTCGTTTCGGAAAAAGTATGCCACACCCACAATACTTGTCAAATTTCGTTGAAACACTACACTGAAAGTGAGGATTTTTCATTTTACGCCTTCTCAACCAACTTATCTTACTTTTCCCCGAGTGTAGCTCTTCTCTCCTTCCCCAATGTTGAGATTCGCGTATATTTGCAAATGGGTGATATGTGAATCAACATTGGGGAGGGCGTAACGTCACGTGTTTCAACAAATGCGACGAGTATTGTAGCTTAAGTGACTTCAGAAAGGTAATTTTAGGCTCTTTTGCCAAGTTTCGAGCCCAGGAAATAAAAGTTTTAAGATAAAGATTCTTCTGGCCTGCCTTTCCTCAACTAAGCCTCTTTCTAGAAGTTTGTCGAGAAAGTTCAAGTTATCCATGTTCAAGTTATGGTACAACCGTAGTTTTATCCAAAGACACTAAAGTCAAAACTCTATAAATCGGACAAAAGGGTCAGGTCTAATGAGGGTGTTTACTATTATACGCGTTATTGACCAAGCTTGAGGTCAAGCAATCTTGACCGAACAAGCTTGGTTAATAAAGGATTTCAGTGTTATAAGACCAAAAGAAAATATATTTTCGCAAGAACAAAACGGGCAATCCCGAGTACCCGCACGGGTAGCCAATCAGAACGCAGGATTCGCTTCATCTTTTGCCCGCGCTCGGGAGGCCGGCCATATAATAAACATGGCGATTGTACAAAATGCAACCTCTTTGGATCGAAAGGACTGTTCGTTTTATCTACTACCGTAATAGAGATGTGTCCGTGTACTCTTAAGTTTGGTAAGTTAAACTCCCCATCGAAAAAAATCGCGCCTTTTCATCTTACGCGACAATTGGAAATCTGACCAAACTAGTTTTACTTCTTTGTTAAGTTAGATTTACTGTAATAACGTTTAAATACTATGACACACCACCCAATGCGCATGCCACACCAAACCACGCGACCAGCCAGCTACCCGTTGCATACTCGAAGTGTTTCGCCATAAATTTAAGGGGAGACTGTGCGAAAACTTTCCCCGTAGTTACCAAGAAGCTGTTTCGCTTGCAAAAAAGACGATCCAGAGGAAACAACCGGTCACTGTAAGACAGTGAAAGCTCCGTCAACCAAAGAGGAGTGCTAAGGAATCCAAACATCGTGCCCTCGACCTTCGTGGCGGGTGTAATAAGTCCTGTGATCTCCATGACTCAACAGCACAGGCAATATTTCAGTCTCTAAATAAATCTTTACTTCATCAAACAGCACACAAACTAGCAGAAGCACTTTTTTTATCTGTTTATCTCTCGCTGAAGCCTCTCATTCGTGTAGCACTTCCTCCATTGGAGCCACGTAAGTAAAACCCACAAAAGCATCGTCGGGATCGTCAACGCTGGCACTTAAGAATGTTGAGTCAGCAGATTTGCCCACTGATCCTGTCGTAATCAAGTCCAAAAGCAAACAGTTAGCAGCATAAAGGCATTTTTCTGAAGTTGCTTAGGGTCTCATGATCAGTCCACATGGAGAAAGAATGGAAAACCTGAAAACCTGTTTGTGACTTAAAAGGGGCTATCTCACGATGATATGGCTGCATGTTTTTGGCCAATTCTGTGCTGAAGTGCTAAAGTCATTGCTTAATGCGTTTACCCATACAAAAAATGCTCCGGTAGAGTTATGAAATAGATATCAAATAAATTTCATCAGGGAGCACTAACCGTCATAATTTTTTGGGTGATATTTTGCAGGAATAGTATTAGAACTTGAGGTTGGGCCAACTTTTTCAAGTCTCAATCCATGTGTTCATCCTTGCCATCCGAGGCAACAGACAACAGGAAACAGTTTCAATGCCTAAATATAGTCTTAACTAAGAAAACTGGACCATTATAATACTTTTGGAATTCAATTCATGCAAAATTTTTTTTAGCCATATTCCCCTTAACAGATCTCCATGCAAATATACAAAGCCCTGTCAACGACTAAAGCAGTCCTAAAGTTTTGCTAAAACAATTCCAACCTCTCTTTTCCTACCTAAAAAGAAATTAAAATACTACAATTTCTTATAATTTCGGGCACACAAACACACATTTGTTGGTCCATTTGGTGCTCAAAAGCCAGAAAGAGTGATTAAAAATCCGCGTCCCCCCTCTCCTCCTTCCTAAACAATGGTATTTTTCCCGCCCGACATTTTCCCGCGCTTGATACAACTAACAAGCTTTTGCATTTTTAAGGGCTGTCAATTGAACATTTGAGGGAAACTGTTTTGTGTTTGTTGTGTTTGCATTCGAGATCAAAGTTTCAATAATTTTGAAAATAACACAATGAAACTCTATCACTTAACGAGGCACAATTGACGGTTTGTGGGCTAGCAACTGTGCTACCTATTCAACAGGTCTGGATTTTAAAATTTGTCTTCGGACCCAAAAAGTTTCCGGGCCCTTTGAGAAATGGACCCCTGATCTGTGTGCCGGATATTTTTGCCTGAAATCATTCCCCGCGCGTCCCCCTGGTCAAAAGTTAAATGGTCAACCCCCCAAAAAGATCAGTTGCCTGATTTGACAGCTTGACACATTTCGGATACTTTTTTCTGATCACTGATTGGTTCATTCCAGTCAGTTTGAGTAAGGGGTAGAATAAAATTTTCCATTTTTCCTCCTGTGACGACTAAGCCCAGGCCAGTCTTAAAGAATTTTAAACTTTGTCTAATAAACGTTTCCACACAGATGTCGAGATAACGTACCTGGTACTGGTTCTCGAACAAACTCGGGATCAAAATGTCTCAGGTCCAGTTGGCCTGTCTATTGGTAAAACACAGGGCAAAAGAATATCCGTTTAAAACCACGTTTTTCAGTCAAAGCTACACAAAAGTCGAACCTCCACTAGCGGCTACCTCTCCACAAAGCCCACCCTTCTACAACCGCCACTATTTTTGTCCCGGAGGACAGTCCATACATTTTTAAAGAAAACTCTACAGCTCAGAGCAAAAATTAAGGAAACGAAACGAATATTTCGTCCAAATCACTCAGACTTCATCAGCCTTGTATTCGTTTCGTTCCGTTTTCTTAATTTTTGCTCTGAGTTTTGGAATTGTCTATACTAAATGTCTTCGTCAGAGTAGGTGAAAAAACGTTTTGCTAAGTCTACGCATTGACTCTTGTTTAAACCTCTCTACAACGGTCAAGGCAACTAAAGCGTGCCCCCAACTGTCATATATATTATCAAGTCTTAGAGGTTTCAGAATCCAACTTACCACATTAGGATTATAGGGCGGCTCAATTTTTTTGTCATACAACAACTGCCAGTCGATGTTTCGAAAAAATGGATGCCCCTTGATATCTTCCTAAAAAAGAGGTTCAAGGCACAGTATTACAGAGTATCTTTGTAAACAGTACATAATGATTTTAGCCCGTGAATGGGCTTCCAAGGGGAGGGGGGGAGTCGTGTTGTGTAGGGATGGGAGGGGCGCGGTAACATTTGCAAGAGCGATTTGTTTTAGTAACGGCAAAAAGTAATAAACTAAATAAACAAAGGCCAATCAGTACTAAAAATAAGTGGGCGATACAGTAAAACCAACCAGATCTGTTTATTGATGTTGCCGGCACCGCGAACGAATAGCCTACCACACAAAAGGCTTTTAATATTTAGCCCACCTGAAATCCCTTATCCCTTCTCTTTCGAACGCCTGCCACACAGGCTAAAGTTCGTTGGGCTTCGTCCCGCGTTCCTCGCCTTGCCACAAAGGAAAGCGTGACGGGCACCTAAGGACGTCTTCGTGACATAATTACGAAAAGAAAAGGCCACTTCCGAGTTCCAAAAACCCTCATTTTCAAAATGAGGCCAAGTGCACAACCTTTCTTGTAATACCTCGTTTTGAGACAGAGGCCCGGGGGAACTCGGAATTGGCCTATTGCTGATTAAAACTTACAAAGCCGTTTTCTCCGACTCCGAGTCTCTTTGAGCGGTCTTTTTGAAGAAGCTGTGAAATAGCAGAAAGAAGAGCATTTTACCCATCGTGGTTTTAAACAGATATACGCTTTGTTTCTAAGTGCATTCTCCTCGTCTAAAAAATGATAAAAACAAAACTTACACTTTCAAGAACATTTCTTGCACTAGCTGATATGTTGGTCCGAAGACGAAGAGGCTTGTGGAGGATATTTTCATACATTTCTGCTGTATCCCGACTATAAAAAGGCGGCTAAAACGAAGAAAGTAAAACACATAATAATTTAGATGCTTTGTTCAATTTTTTTTTTACGGTGTACTTGTCTGAGAAATATGAAATAACCCCTCTGGCCCCTTTTAAATAAATGGTGCGGTTCAGTTTGAGTTATATCCTCTCCTTTATCCGACTTCAATTTTCCTTTGTTTTACCCTCATTATCTAGAATTACTTAAAAGTGTAAATTGAATTAAGGAAATTTAACCACAACATAAACACTATTCGACTGCATATGTAAAGGCCTCTTTTAACACTAAAATTCCTTCGTATACATGCACCGCAGTTCTAGCTTCAAAGCTTCATTCTAGCTTCAAGTCTTAGGGTATACAGACGTTTTGCGGCTTTAGCAATGATACAGCCCTAGCAGTCGCTGTTTCCATCCACAACATATGTAATTTCTCATGTTTGTACCAGCGAGTAGCTTAGTAGGGACCGCTTTATCCTTTTTGCGCGTTTCTAGTCCTTTTTTTAAGTCAGTGTTACTATAAGGAGAAATAAAATGTTGTTCACTTTCTGAGTCAACTTGCAATCAGCAAGGTTGCTTCAGTAACCGAGTCTAAGTGGTGCTTTGATATTTAATCAGTAAGTAGTTTGAAGCAGTGCAAAATCGTTCTTACCAAACCATACATCATTTCGTATAAGACAGCACCCAGACACCACCAATCCACTGTTTTGTCATATTCTTGTTTCCGAAGAACTTCTGGAGCTAAGTACTGAATACAAAAACATAGAGTTAACCTAAGCATCGAAGACACTGAAAAACATGTTTGACTTAGGGCGTCAAATAGGAGAAGATATTTATCAAGTACTCAAATTTTCTCGTTAAAATCACACAAGTGAATAGCTAGCCGCAAAATCTCGCTAACAGAACAATGTTTTGGAGGTGAATAGAGTGTTTTCTCCACGACCACATCGAACTCTAAAATCAAAATAGCGAGGTCCCCTGAACTTTTATCGACACCTGGTTGAAGGTGACCTAGAAATAAATCATTAGAAACGTTTGTAGCCCCGTAGCGTCTTTCATTTTGAAATACAACATCTTGAATTACCGAATTATAGACTTCATCATGAAGTATAACAAGATAGAGCTAAGGAACTAACTTTATACCTAATGATTAAGACAAAATCACGTTCCTGTAAGGGTGTGACCAGCAAAAAACACCCACAAAATATGCGTGCAGGATATGACTACAATCCTGCGTTACAAAATTAAACATTACCAAGTCTGTGTGATCAGACGAAACCCGTCGGAGAAATAAAGTAAGTAAACAAGATCCCCGCGTTACTTTGTGCTGCTCACTAGTGTTCATTTCAAACAATTAAAAAAAATTGAAAAAATTGAAAAGATTTCTCCGTACGATTTTCAGTTTAAACATTTCAAGCAGTAAAAAATGTGTTGATGAGCATGTATAATAGCTCACAAGCACAAGAAAGCATTTTTATCGCGAAAGTGAAATCCAGATGTGTTCGTTGATTTGCGGTCGTCATATCAGTCTCCCGTTTTCCATGAAGACGTCCTGAAAACGAGGGTTGCGCCTTTACTAGGGAGCTATGAATGGTGTTCATAGCGCCTCAGTTATCTTAGATTATCCTACCTCTGGTGTGCCGCAGAATGTCGATGTAGTTCCAGAGGGTTCTATTCCTTCTTTACAGAGACCAAAGTCCGTTAAAACTACATGACCCTGTAAAAAATTGACACATGTAGAAAACAGATCGTGTTGTCTTCAACGAAGTTATAAACTAGTCTTTCTTCAACTTTTGGTCAGACATTTTTCTGAAGTGGTCTACCTTCACTACGTTTGTACGATCTTGGCTGCTAGTGTCTAATTACTCTAGCCTGTAAACAGGCTCTCCACTGGAATGAGGACGAAAAGACGGCTACAAAGCGCGAGGAGAGCACCCCTCCCCCCCCCCCCCCCCCCCCCCCCCCCCCCCCCCCCCCCCCCCCCCCCCCCCCCCCCCCCCCCCAACTTCCCAAAAGAAGAAGCCTTTTTTTTTTTTTTTTTTTTTTTTTTTTTTTAATAAAAAAAAAAAAAAAAAAACAAAAAAAAAAAAAAAAAAACAAACAAACAACACCAAAACACACAAAGCACCACACACTCCTATATTACAAATTATGTGTCTCTCCCCCACAAGGAGAGAGAAAAAAAAACGCAAACAAACCCGGGGGGACCCCCCCCCCCCCCCCCCCCCCCCCCCCCCCCCCCCCAAGGAGCCCAACTAGCTCCTATTCGTGGTAAAACGTTGCACTATCCTGGGTGACAGAGCTCTTTTTTCCTTCTCCTTAATCTAGGAAGAAAAAAAGAAAGAAGCGCAACGCACCGATAAAAAAACCGTTTCGGAAGCTGTCTCAAACCCGAAACCCAGTTCATTTTATCCTGGATATTTTAAGAAACGGACATCTGGTGCCAGGGTAACGTAGCACCTGTTGGCAGTCCAAAATGCGGCTCAATGAACTTATATTAATATCCCTGTACTTTTTTCTGGTTTATGCAAAAACCAGCCAGCAAAATGGATTCAAAATTCAAAAGCGGAAATTCTGTTGTTTAAAAGGGCACGGCAGAGCTAAGGGTGAGTTCGACTGACCTTATATGGAATATGAATACATTCTGGATTATTCCAGAATAGTCCTCACTAAAAACAACCAACCAACCAACAAAGCGACAAAAAAAACACAACAAAAAAATTCTGTTTTCAGAATACTTTTACAAATATGATCTCGACTATCAAAATTGTTGACACCAGGAAAACTGTTATATGGATGACATTTTGCTTGGTGGAAAACAGTTTAACTTGAAGAGAACAGAAAACTGTTTGCATTAGAGGTAAAGCGGACTGAGAAATTTAAGAATAGTTTTCTCCCTTTCCTTTTGAAAAGAGACATGCCAAAAAGGCTTCGTTTCTGCTCCAGTAAGTTTTTTTCATTGTATGCGGAGCGCCACGACTTCCTCGTTCAGGTAAATGCCGTTTACTGTCACCGAAGAAGTCCCCCATTATCTTTGCTGTTGTGAAATCCGGCCACCACACGAGGAAAATGAAGACACTATAATCCATACTTTAAACGACTGCACATATTCCTATCTCGGAATTGGAACAGTAGGCCAATCGAACGTACCCTAAACCTTAGTGAAGCCGGGTATAGAAAGCGCAAAGTATGAGTAGGCAAGAGACCAAAAAGATGATGTTACACGGAACTATTCGCATCGACTATTTTTAACGCAGCACAGCGTTGCGAAGCTGAGACAATGTTGTAACCATTCGAAACAATTTCGCAACAATGTTGCAACGCTGTGTTGCGCCAAACATCGTCGTTGCGAATCGTCTCGTGATACATCACCTTTAAATATACCTGTGGGTTATCGCATGCATAAAAAGAAAACACACCACTTACCCTGCCATCTAGAAGAATATTTTCTGGTTTCAAATCTCTGTAAGAAGAAAAAAAGAAGTTTCAATAAAATAGAAAAATAGAAAATAAGTAACCAAATAATTATGCAAAAAAAACTTCCCTAACCTGTAAATTATTTGAAGAGAATGAAGGTACCCAATTGCTGATGCTATTTCTGCCGCATAGAATCTCGCCCTAGAAAAAATAGGGATTAATAAAATAAATAATAAAGTAAAAATAGACATGTAGCATTCAATTCTACCATGAAAGATTATTTATTAGATAATAGGTTAGAAAATGCGAACGAGGTGATTCGTGAGATAGACAAATGCACCTGATTATGAAAATGTTATAAACAATTACCGGATGAGGTTTTTGTAATATCCGGAATAATCAAGGTCGAGGTAAGTGTTTTCAGCCGAAGCCGAAGGCTGAGGCTGATAAAACTAACCGAGACGAATCGAGAAGCCATTCTTACTTCGCTGTCCGCATACTTGACATTGCTGTCCGTGCACTTGACATTGCTCTTGGAAATCATGCATTGCGCGCGCAACCTACAGATTATTCACTAATCTGTAGGTACAGATTAGTGAATAATCTGTAGGTTGCGCTGTTTCCAAGAATTAACTGTAGGCTGTTAGCCAACGAGAAGACAGATGGTGACTACAATGTATAATAATAATAATTATGATAACGCACTGTCTGTCACATGGGCATGCTTGATTTAATAAGGGAATGGTAGCCTGCAGAACAAACGCTGAGTGTTCGCGTTTTTCAGGCGAGCACAAAGCCGCCGGCGCGGAGCGCGAGCGTGTCTCGCCCTCCACGCCCACTTCGTGCACGCCAGAAAAAGACAAAACAACAGAGCCTGTTTTGCAGGTGTTGTTTTTTCCCTGCCTTCTCCCATGACACTTGCCTTTGCTCGCCTAAAAAACGCGAAAAAAGAGACACACGTTCTGCGGGCTAAGAGAATTGTAACTGTCACTGAGTGCACTCTTCAGTTTTTTAAGAAGATTAGAAAAGAAAAACACGAGAAAGGTGTTCAGAGAAGCAAGGAAAGACGCAAGTTTTTCTCACACTTCTCGAACGTTTTTGAAAGTTTCAAGTTCATACATAACTCCATGCAGAGTACAAAAGAAGTTGAACATTTCCTTTTGAGATAACTAAGCCCTCGTAGCAGGGATTAGTGACTGGGGTAAAGGGATGAAGAAAATCGGCGCGCTTTAGAACTTGACAATGCCAAGAGCAAGCTACCGTTCTCTTGATGTAAGAGGAAAGGCGCTGATACACACGCAAATTTGAAAAAATCCAAAACCAGCATTAATAGCTTTCTTTTTAGAGCACTGGCCACCTGAATAAGATATATTTCACTGACCTTGCTTCAGGAAAGTATCTCTCTTTTTGTAAATGAAAGAACAACTAACAAAAAAAAGTAGAAATCAAAAATGATCAGAATAGTGGCTGTGAGTCGAAAGACACTAATCATGTAATGATGGTTGTTATTGAAAAGATGACATAAGAATTCGTCTTTGCATCAATATGAACTTGTTTTCAGATCTCAATCAAACTTGGAGCAGCATACCTTACCAGAAATTCTTCCTCTGATAATTGAATGGATAATAAAATTCTTGGTTGCTATTTATAACAAGCTATGAAAAAGAATTTAATAACCAACATCCTTTACCTCTCCGCCATTTACATAATCCAAGACAAAGTAGAGTTTGTCCCTGGTTTGAAATGAATAATGTAATCCCTAAAAGTTAAAAAAAAGCTGATTAAGAAAGTTAAATTTACTTTAATTACTTGAGCAGATAAAACACAAAGGCTAGTGGGTCTGCCCAAATAAGGGAAATAAAATTTTTAAAATAAACATTTAACAAACGCGAAGAAAGTCTCCTGATAGGAGACAAACAAGGTCGTGAGTTTTTTTTTGATCTACAATAATATTGTCCTAGGTGCTGAGCTCATAGAACTACTATTAGAAACAACTGCAACAAGTGGGTCAGGGTAGGACTTAAACTCCGACAGGGCCTCCGATTGTAGGTCTAGCAATCTTGGACCACAAGGCCATGTTGCTGTATAGCCTATAGAGCAACGTATATGTTCTGTCATCATCTTCACCACCTAAAAATAGTGGAGAGATGCTAGGACTGGAATAATGTCTTCATTCACAGGCTATGTTGCTGTAGGCAGAGCACAGCACTACCACAGTTGAGACAGAAAGACAATATTCACCCTCAATACAAAGGAAAAAATCCCTTAGGAGAGGGATCAACTATTTGCTTGGAGCCGATGTCTGCTCACACAGAAATGGTATGGGCAGGACACATAGCAGTGCTGAAATCATCTTCATTTAAAACAGTGACTGTCTGGTTTTTAATAATGACAACTTAAAATATGAACTCACTGATCCTTCTGCAAATATTGTTTTTAACAAATCTGCCCCAAAATTTCAAACTAAAAGTACCATGGATGACAACAAAAATGAACTTATTGAATAATGATTAGTTCAAAATAAACAAGTCTTACCACTAGAAAAGGGTGCTTGACATTCATCAACAACACATTTCTTTCAGCCATAATATGTTTTGCCTGCAGGAAACATGGATAGAATGGAAGACTAAATAATAATAAAATCATGAGCTGCAACACCTGGTAAGTCTCAAAACAGAAATTGCCCCAATTATTTGTTATTTGACACATATTTGCTAAAATGTACCGAAAAACAATGACATTGATCCATAAGGGAAACAAATTCATGTTACATCTACATGTAATGTTTAGGAGTAAAAGGGCTGTAATGAAACAAAAAAATCTTAAATATTACTTATCAGCAAGTCTATAAAAAATATCTAAACATCACAGAAACAGAATAATATTTTCCTATCAAATTCTGCACACCAAAAACAAATCTACAAAATAAACAAGAACGGTTTGAAATAATAATTGGTAAGTTATTAGCAACTGCATAAAAAATATCTAAACGTCATAGAAACAGAATAATATTTTCCTATCAAATTCTGCACACCAAAAACAAATTTACAAAATAAACAATAATGGTTTGAAATAATAACTGGTAAGTTTGTTAATTCGTTTCATTTTGTTATGACCATAAATTACAGACCTCATTTCGTTTTCTTATTGCCGCTTTATTGAGAACCTTGATGGCATAGAACTGGTCTTCCTGTTTGTTCTTTGCAAGGAAGACCTAAAAAAATACCAAAACAGATGCAAAATATTAANTCATAGAAACAGAATAATATTTTCCTATCAAATTCTGCACACCAAAAACAAATTTACAAAATAAACAATAATGGTTTGAAATAATAACTGGTAAGTTTGTTAATTCGTTTCATTTTGTTATGACCATAAATTACAGACCTCATTTCGTTTTCTTATTGCCGCTTTATTGAGAACCTTGATGGCATAGAACTGGTCTTCCTGTTTGTTCTTTGCAAGGAAGACCTAAAAAAATACCAAAACAGATGCAAAATATTAAGTTAAAGAAAAGACAAACAGACCTTGCAACACTTAACATGTTTTAGGCTCCTACAAAGCTTTTATTTGGCGCATCACACAACTACTCTACTAAAAAAAAAAAATGGCTGCTCATTGTATTCACACTACATTCCCTTCTTACCATTGTTAGAGTCTTGAGGAGGAGTGATTTGTGAGGACCGAAATAACGGTCAGCAGCCTAAGAGATTACACTCACCTTAGATCACAACTACTCAAGGATTTCAATTTTTTTGATTCGACATTATTTGAATTTGAAATTTTAGCGTCATTTTTACTTTCTTCATCAAATGACTGGCTTAACTTTCACTTAATCCTTTACTTAAAATATCCTCTAGATTTTCAAAACTGCCACAGAGAAATTATAACAGGGCCTCAAACATGCATATGCATGCAGAAAAACCATTTTAGGTGATTCCTGATTAAAAGGCTGCCAAATCATTCACTATACAGCTGTATTTCCCACTGTAGTATAAATTTTAGTGGATAAATTTAAGAACATATCCAAAGATCAAAGCATTTGAACATTTAGAGGAAAATTAGTTCAAAAGTTAATCTGGATAGTTTTACCTTGCCAAAACTTCCTTTGCCAATCACTTTAAGGAAGAGGAAATCACTTGGCTTGGCTCTGTGAATGGTAAAATATTAAAAGTACATGTTGACTGAGTTTTGGAAATGACTGCAATTAACCTATCTTAGTATACAGCTCCTCAAGCATATCCTTTCATCATAATTCATATGTTGACTTGTTACTAACGTGAAGCGAAACTTATGTTTAGGAAAATAAGTCGGACTAGGGAATCTAAAATAAAATGTCGACTCTTATAGTAAGGGATATGATCCCTCAACTTTTGAGACCAGATTTGAAATCTGGAGACTGTTTCTTTTGTAGTACTTCCACTCAATATCAACTGACCCCACCCATGATATCCACAAATTGCTCCCCCCTTCCACCCCAGTCCTCAAGTCATAATTTGGGTGTGGCTCAGACCAGAATATCAACCAGTGGCTTCCATTGTTATACCCATAATGATGATATAACAAGATAATTTTATCGGTGATGAAATACATTCAAAATCATACTTTGCTTTATTTTTTTATTTTTTAAACCTTTCACTCCCAAGGAATAGGTCAAAATTAACAAGAACCTCCAACTTTCATGTTTTTGTAAAAATAATGCTAAAAATCAAATACGTGAAGGTTAAGTTGCCCGAGAGGTTTCATTTGAATAGGTTAACAAAGTCAAAAGTGAGAGATACCTGACAAGACTACATTATTCATTCTGGAAGTGAAGGAGTTAAAATTAATGTTCGGGAAATTTGGGCTAAATTAAAAACTAAAGCAAACAAATGACCAAAAGTCTATTATTTTTCTGTGAGACTTGGTGACCCATGGGGTAAACAAGGAGATTTGTGCCATATCAGAGAGATTCCTGGATAATCTAGAAGACATGACATTAATTTATTTTATAGAGGTATGTTATAATAAACTACCAAGAGTTCATTGTAAATGGAACTGGTACCATAATACCAAGTATTATTCTGTTGCCCTTTACTCACTTTTGATTATACGAATCTCCTAGATCAATTCTGTTCATATCCTTAGCCTAACAATAGAATAGGAAAAAAAGCTTTACATCACAATGTATTGTATGGATTTTCTTGAATTTGAGGGCTTTAGTTATGGAAGAGATCACATTGTGTTTTATGGACAATGTTTCAAACAGTTTTAGAAAAATGGGTACCAATTTGGATGCTTCAAGCCAGAGGGTATAAATCTACCCATGACAAATATCTAGTGCTATAAACGTTCATTTTTCAATCTCTTCAAAATGGCTAATGAACACCAAATAGGTTATCAAATTTTAAAACAGTGAAACCTTTAACATTAAGCAGACTGGGAGACACTCTTAATTCAGCAGACATGAACATCAACAAGTCCTGAAACTTATTCTTCCAGTATGTTCTATAAAATGAATCCATGTTGATGAGTGGGACTGTGAGGGCGAGAGGTCCCATGGACAATATACAGGGCTGACAATAAGATTTCAGTTTGCTGGGTATATGCAAAAATAAGTAAGTGGAGAATGGAACAACTAACAAGTTTTGCTTGTTCTGTTATTTTTCATTTTGTTTTAGGACTATGAAAGTGGCTGTGAGTTATGTTCACAGTTCTATTGGAATATCGGGCCTCCAGCCCTTAATGAGAGCCCCACGGATGTCCACTTACTTTAGGTTTCACTCTACAACCTTGAAAGTCTTCTCATAGCCCCAAAGTTGCTTTAGAAAAAATGAGCTACTTTATTAGCACTGTATCTTTTGGTCTGTTGTTGTTGTTTTTGTCTGTAAGTTATTGATTTCTAGTTTGATAGTATAAATAAATCATCTTCTTGTTTAAAAAGTATACGAGAAGAAGATAAGGTATGATGGGAACTTCAGTGAACATCCTCGAAGGGAGGTGTCTTTTATCTACATATTTTCCAAAATAACAATAATATTAAAAATACCAGTGAATCAGCCTCATCAGCTCCAAACTGCTCTGTGTCACCATTAATGTGAGCATTCTTTGGATTATCCAGTGACAAAAACAGACGCACATCAGGACTAAAGAGAGAAATACCAAACACCAGTGAGATTTTAAATGTTTATAGGCAAATTTCTGTTAAATAGCTAATACTGAATTTATTCAATTAAACCCCACGGTGTATACTAAATTTTTTGTGATTCAAGTGCGGCATTTACTTGAGGGCAGCGTTTATTTAAAGTCCAATTTGTTTCTTGCAAACAATAGTATGGTGACTGAAAATTTGAATTTTTAAAAACAGAAACATATATGCTTTAGTGCTTGTCTGAAAAGTCATTTTCTATATTGATCTCAATTTCACAATTTGCATGTAATACTACTGCAATACATAAAGTGAATAAAGTGAATTATATTCCTTTGAGCTTCTAAATCGCTAATGCACTGATCTTAATTGTCACATTGTTACAAATTATCGAGGAAAATAATTTTTTTAGGCTTGTTCAAACTTGTTTATGACTGCATTTGCTTTTTGAGTCTATTATTGGAATGAATCGAAGGCCACATCATCATTTATTACAGGGTGGCGTTTATTAATATTTCTCCATTTATTCGAAGGCGGCATTTATTCAAGGGCGGAGTTTAATTGAATAAATGTGGTACTCACTGTTCAATTGCATCAGGGTGGCTGATAATCTTGCTTGTAAACTCATTTAGTCCTTCTCGCCTCATCTTTATAAATTCTGATGAAACAATTATTGGATGAACATGTTTAACTTACAACTAATATTATTATTATCACTGCCCTAAATTTTTACGTTGCCAGGAAGAATTATTTTAAAACCACATCTTGATAAAATGACAATGTTTTGTTCCATATGGGCTGTAGGAAATATTTTGAAATTCCTCTATAATGTTTTGTACAGTGCCTAGAGCTTTCAAGACAACAGGATAACAAGCTGGTTGTTACTGTGTACTATTTCCAAGCCTCTGTTAGGGTGCCTGCAGACACAGGGGCGGATCCTGGATTTTTTTTAGGGGAAGGGTGCACTCGTCTCTTGCTCTACTTCAACACAAATAAACCACATAGTTTTTTTTTTTTTCGCAGAATACCAGTTGTATTAGAAAATCGCAGGTCATCTCGGGGGGGGGGTGCGCACCCCCTGCACCCTCCCCCTAGATCCACCCCTGAGACATCGATTCTGTCACACTGTCACATTTTCCATCAAATCATTGGTTTTTCAGGTGAAAACCTCACATATCATATTGTGCAGCACAATCTTTGGCATGTCTCTTTGCCACCACGTTGTGAAACTTGGAAATGCTCCAACTTCCACAAATGGCAATGCAATCATTGTGTTAAGCTCTAAGATTGTCCCTTCATCAATGGAGATTGTCATGACTTCCATTTTGTTGGAAATACCCGTACAGAGGCTTATTTCTGTATTTCTCTCATTTCGTCTCCAAAATATTTCATTTTATATGAGGCTTTAATAGGAAATACATACCCGGATCAAAGTTGTTTCCAAGTCGACGTTTTCCTGGTAACTTGATGTTCATGTCAGGATATACCTTCTTCATCTGAAAATAATAAAAAAAGTTTTAGTGTTAAGCCAAGCTCCAATGAATCTAGCCTGAGAAAACAGCCAACACTTTGTGACGCCACCCCTGGTTTCCACGTGAAATGATGTCTGAACAACGAGTGCAGAAATTCCATACTGATGATGTGTCACTACCCAGATCTCACTTTTTAAAATCATTTTTGCCTTTTTCTTTCTTTTTTTTCCAAAATTAACCCTTGAAGCCCCAGTATCCACATGCCAATTCTCCATACTGATCCCCGTATATTTGCTGGAAGGATTAATGCATTTAATACTTGGTGATTATTTTATCAATTCTGCTACCCTTTTCTTTTTAAGGTGTATGGAAAATGTTACGAGAAAATTGATGTAGGTCACTAGTAATCCATGGGTAAGTTTCAAAGAGGGTTCATAGACCTCCTGTGTAGGTTATGCCCTAGCCTGTTAGTCCAGGACTAATCAAGATCAATTTGATGATATATGATATTTGATGATGATGAAGATGATCATCAGCGTACGGGGCAGGGGGGCTGGGGGGCTGCAGCCCCCCCTGTCGGAAAAAAAATAGTATTATTCAGGCAAAACTGATGTACTGTTCGGGCAATTAAAGACACAGTAAAGGGTATTTTATTATTTAATATCTTGATTTATTTGTTTTCATCCCGCATCTCGCCTAATCTTCTAACTGATCTCTGTACTACTTCACGGGATGGCTGTTATTACTCGGAGTTAGAACATTGAGTTCTGCCGAGGGGCTGGGAGTGATAATCAAGACCACACTGGGACTGGAACTGCATATGAGTTGGCGGCCATGTTGATTTATGTCAGTTCTCGAGTGCATGTGCATGTAATCTGGTGGATTGAAGTATGTCTTTGTCGAAGTCTCGTAAAAGATCATATCGATACCATGTGAAATGTGAAGAATGCGAGAAAGAATTCGACTTCGACTATGTAGAAGCTCATTCCCGAATTGTTCCCAGCCTCCGAAAAGTGAAGTATCGCCGTTATTAACATTGAACGAAAGTATGCAAACAAGACAATGCAGAATAACATGCAAAGGATTATTGATATATTTGGGTGTCGAAGTAATCGTTCTTCATACTTCTTTTAGAGTTCAAATGGGTACGTTTTATCTCGCACTTCATGGTTTTGTATTTTAGAAATGTTCATCTCGATTTATCGAAAATATTTGCACTATTTTGAACGCCTGTGCTCTCACAGCATGGCGAAGAAAACTTGACGTCACAAAAGAATCATCTTGTGCATCTGTGACCAACAAGTTTCATTCGGGCAAATTATGTTCAGCCCCCCCAACAAAATTTTTCCCGTATGCCGGTGATGATGATGATGATGATGAGACTGACCTCTAGAATATGTAGATTGCAAAGAATCTCTTTATGCAAGGAAAGCCAATCACATAAATTCTGTAACAAAATTTTTTAGAAAATGTTATGCACCCAAGCCTGCAAGGAAATTGGTTCAAGTGTAATCCACCTACCTTTTCATACAAATTATAGAATTCATTGTATCTTCGAAAAATGAAGTAACTTCTGCCATCTGGGAGGTTGACAAGAACTTTGTAAACCTTCGTAATAAGAGATACAGTAATTCAGTACAAGGGAACCTTGATTTAAAGAACATCTATAAAACAAAGTCCTTGGTACAATGAACGATATTCCTTGCCCCGGTAAAGTATATAAAAAGGAAAAGAACCTCGATATAATGAAACCTCCTTATAACAAACATATTAATTTTTGTCAGTCCACTGGCCCTTTCGGTTATATCAAGGTTCCACCGTATGCAAGTAAACTTTTAAATTTGGTTAGAGGGGTGTGGGCACATATTAAATTTTAAGACTGTAATAAACTCTGTTGATATAGGCTACACAATTTTTTACCACCAGTGAAAGGCTTCAGAAATGATAGAAATTATCCTGGAGAATTATTGGGCCTCAATATACACCTACCACAAAAGTCCATTTTTCTAAATTATTTTATTTTTGTTGTTTACTTTATTTTTTGGCAATATTGAGATAAAAAGCTTGATTCGTAACGAGTAAATTTCAATCGAGAACAATTTATTTACCTCTAAAAAACCTTGTCAACCATACAAAGCAAACGTTTGTGGTTTATACAGGCATAAAATAAGCAAAATACATGCATTTTTGAGATTAACTGTACCATTTGAATAAACATAGCAAGAATAATTTGAGGCGCGATAAATCCAAGCATATCGGTGATCGCGAAGTCGATTTCCAGACATGCACAAGTTGTTTTTGAGATACACTTTAATAAGAAATAATTTATTTTCTGCAGAAAACGAGAGTAATACGTGAACATTATATCGCGACCTATTGGCAGTATTAAAGAAGACGACCTAAATTAATCCATGAATAGAAAAAACTTGTAAACAGCGGGATTATCTTGTTTTTCGCCCTAATCTGACAACGCTATCACTTCCAACAACAAAGCAAACACAACAAGGAAATACTTCCAACACAACGGTTACAGCGAAGCTCATAAAGCGAAATTCAATTAGGGGAAAACAATTTGTAGCTTACTTACCGTAAAGCGTTTGGACTTTTCAGAGCTCAAAGTCTCCGAATCTGGCACAGTTACACCAATCTGTTGGGACATATTTCCTCGACAAAGAAATAAATATAAAATGTGGAAAAGATAATTTTGTCTTATCAGGAATCGGGGCTCGAACGAGCACAACCTTTGCGCAGAGGACCCCGACCTCCAGCGAATATCTCGGGTTTTTTGACGGCAGAAACAAATACTATATCTGCACAAATGATGTGGAAACGCTGTAGAAGATGATATCCATGCAGAACTGAATCTCCAGTGATACCATCCACTTTGGAGATACAAAACAGCTTTCGGACAAAGCTTGTAAACAACTTTGCTGAATGCGATAACTTTTTCTTTTGCTTAGCAGAGGGGGAAATGGGACCTAAAGGGTGCAACCTCGTCACCAGTTTCCTCCCGGCTTGGGCGGTGTTTGGAGCGCTTATAAATTAATCATGNTTCCTCGACAAAGAAATAAATATAAAATGTGGAAAAGATAATTTTGTCTTATCAGGAATCGGGGCTCGAACGAGCACAACCTTTGCGCAGAGGACCCCGACCTCCAGCGAATATCTCGGGTTTTTTGACGGCAGAAACAAATACTATATCTGCACAAATGATGTGGAAACGCTGTAGAAGATGATATCCATGCAGAACTGAATCTCCAGTGATACCATCCACTTTGGAGATACAAAACAGCTTTCGGACAAAGCTTGTAAACAACTTTGCTGAATGCGATAACTTTTTCTTTTGCTTAGCAGAGGGGGAAATGGGACCTAAAGGGTGCAACCTCGTCACCAGTTTCCTCCCGGCTTGGGCGGTGTTTGGAGCGCTTATAAATTAATCATGATTTTTTTGCGTTAAATCCTTTTAATCATGTTAATCGTAGATATTCTTTTAACAAAAATAGGAACAAAAATCTTACAAAGTTAAAAGCCTTTAACTCAAGTATCTAAAATTCATTCAAATTTTACTTTACTTTATATTTACTCATTGCGGAGAATTTTAAACAGCTTCACAAACATGTCCCCAAGGTATTGCATAAGTCTGCTAATGTGTTGTTCTTAAACTAACGCGTTTTATTTGGAAACACGGAACAAAAAAACAACCAAATGGATAACTAAGTTTGTTTGTGAACGATAGTTACGCAAACTGGAGTACACAGTTCAAGCGGCTGCGGAGGTTTGAAGATATCTACTGTTCCTGTTTACTGTCAAATGCACTGTTAGAGCTCTGAGGCCTGTTTTTTCTTTTAAAGCAGTATATGTCCAACGTGCAAGCACAATAGCGAGAATAAGGGTGCTTGCTATACGAATGATTCTGCGAACTGTTCAAAGAAAAAGCGAATCATGCCTTCTGATTGCTTATCCGAACAGTTCAAATGCCCACTCGAGATTTCCGGTGTTGGCCCTGTCTTGAGTATATCAAGACAGGGGCATTTATCGCTTGACCGCGTCTCCCAAATCGTTTTCATGCGGGCGAGTGATTTGATCACTCAATTTGCCTTAGCCTGCGTAGCAAGCGTTTCTGTTTGGTTTCGAAGACCGAAGAACGGGATTCTCGGTTTTGGCCGCGCGAGAAATAAAACTTACCATTTTTCGCGCGGTCTTTGACTCTTGTTCCTCGTTCTTTGCTCCTAAACCGCACGGAAACGCTTACTACGCAAGGTAAAATTTGCCTTTGTTATCAGTATAATGAGGTAATAATTGCTCTCGGTCTAAAAAACGTATTCCTTAGTAGTGGCGGATCCAAGGGAGGGACCCGGGGGGCCTGGCTTCCCCCCTTTTTTAGACCAAACTGAGGCCCCAAGGGCCGAAAAAAAGATTTTGGAGACCAGGCCCCTTTTATCTCAGGGTCTGGATGACTGCCCCCCCTCCCCTTACCTCAAGGCCTGGGATCCGGCACTGCGTAGCCAGAGGTTTTACGTTTTTCAACTGGTGCCAAATTGTTGAAAACAACTCATTTTGTTTTAGAAACAATAGTGAGATTTAGAGTACACGATACGGCAAACGGTAAACGTCTTATTCATGTTGGCACTAGCGTGCGTAGCAGGCGTTTGGAAGAAGTGGGCGCAAGCAGGCTCCTGGCGCGAGAAAGAACGGTCGCGCGAGAGGGAGACAGTTCTTTTTTGCGCCCACTACTTCTAGGCGCCTGCTACGCAGACTATGTTGGCACTGATTCTCAAAATAGAAAATAGGCTGATAAAAACGGCGGTCCAAAACAATTCTTATGGATGAAAATAATGTGAAACTACGAAATTGTTTTGTAGAAGAGACAAGTAAAGGGAAAATTTGGTCACGTGGCACAGATTAAAGGGGACCAGTGAAATAGTAGGTTTAGAACGGTGCAGGTCGTACTGCCCTGTTTGCCGTGTTTGCCGTAAAAGTGATTCTAAATTACTCTGTTGTCTGAAAGAAGTTACCGCAGGGTTTCATATACAGGCAACTGCACCCGATTTTAGCTATCCCCTATTTACCCATTGCTTAGTTTTCCAATTTTGTTTTTGTTCTTTATTTAACAACAAATGCGTTGTTAAGCGTACAGGTAATACGCACGTGCATTCCTCGTCACGGGAGCAGGAGCCCCGCCTCGGCACGACACAGCGGTTACATAAACACAAGGCCTTCTAATTCTATCATGCTTAGCCAATTACATGTCGCCAGTTGCAGCTTCACTGGTATAAAAGCGCGCCAATTCCGAAGACTCCCTTAGCACAAAACAATGGAAGACGCTTCAATAATCAAAGGGTTATACGAGGCTCTGAGAATCAGTTGATTAATTTATAAGCTGACAGAAAAAAAAAAACAGATAAATGACCCACCAAATTATTTCCCGAATCTCCTGTTGCTTTATGGTACTGAGAACAACTGCACCAATTGTTGGTTTTCACATGACGTCACTAAAATTCAAACTACAAAACTATCGATCCTACAGAGATTTTACTTTCATGGTGTATTAGAGTAGCTGAAAGCTAATTTTCAAACAAATTTTCGCTTCAAAAGGGCTCTTGGTTTTGTAATAGAGTACGCTTGAATTTCTAAGCTTTTGCGTGACCCAGCATTTACATGACGGCTGAGAAGGCTGTCATCTTGGTTAAAAAAGTGACTTTTTTCGAGGAATTTTGCTATCTAAACAGTTCAAGTATTAGAAAAAGTATTACTTTAATGTTTATCAGTTCCTCTAGGAGTAAATTCATGCTTTTGTAGCAAAACTCGGTAACAGATGTTTCTGTTGGTTTCCCTTCGCCACGTTGGAGCTCATCCAGATGAGCTCTAGCATGGCGTCTCCATACAAATCTCTATAAGTTTGGGTAAAACATTTGCTCGGATATCTCGTATACGAATTATTCCTTCGACTGTTTAGAACCGCTCCCAGAAACATATAAATGGAGGAAAGTAAAGGGTCTAAGACCTGAAATAGATAGCTTACCAAAACTAAAAATAAAACTAGATAAAACTTACCGCACTGTGACTTTTGGTCGTTATGCATTTAGACGACTCTGAAGATGGCAACCACGAAATTGAGCGATGTACTAACTTTCTCTCTTCCCTCTTGTAAGGACCGAGAAATATGCCAAATAGTTTCTTTTCTGTTCCAGGAAAACTTTTATTAGAGAACCTTTAGATTCGAGGTATGGCTCTTGTTCGAGGACGGGAACGACTACGAGCACGAGATTTTTTTGATTTTAAGTTTTTTTCGCGTATTATTAAAAATAGACACCCCGGAATTCTTCATCTTTCTTTTTTTTCACCAAAAAAGTGAGCACAGGTATCTTTGTTGGAGGAGGTTAACCACTATATCGATCGATAAATGATACAATTTCTAACATTTGATAAATTGTCTCCACCACTACGTTATTCTTGCAAAAACTAGTAGCCGGAATGACGACGGCTATCGCGTTTTCCCGTAGCCTGAGTATCAGGCCTTCCTATGGGGGATGGGGGAGGGGGAGAAGAGAAAGGAAGGCCGTTTCTCTCCTTCACCTCTCTCCCTTTTTCGCTTCCATCTTTCCCCTTTTCCCCAGAAACGCCTGATACTCAGGCTAGTTTTCCCGCTAAAATAACGCTGGCCTTTACGCGCGCACTACTTAGAGTTAATCTCGAACTCGTTGTTGTACACATCTTAGAATCTAAAGAGCTCTATTCTCACTAGGGCGGATATCCGCCCTGATTGTCGCTGACGACGTCCTCTACTTGTCTTCGTGTTGATGCGCTGTGAAAAAAGCGGCTGCGTGAGCACACCAACTAGATTGGATCAGTTCCACATTATTACGCTGTGTTTTCCTACTTCAGAATATGTTTAATCAAACAGTTTGAGAAACAAACAGAGAATTTAATTGCTTCTTTGGTAGCTAAAGTTGTGCATTCCAAAGTTTAGAAACAATAGTGTTCGTGATAAAGAAACTAACTGCAAAAACTGTGGATGACGATCCTGCTGGCTGTGAACGTTGAATCTCTAGAAAAGATATCTAATCAGCTAAAATATTAAGAACAAAAAACGAGAAGTACAAAGACCACTATAAAGCTGCTCATCACAACGTGCATTGCTTTTTTTATAAACAATATTTCGGCTGGCCATACCAGCCTTCTTCAGGTTTACAAATGTTACTGAATTTATGATAGGAATTACAATATTACAAAGATGGAGAATGTCGCAATAAATATTGTTTAAAAGGGAGAGGTGTTAATGATGGACAACGTAAAAAAGAAAAGAAAAACTCATAAGGATTTATAGATTACAATAATTCGTCAGTGCGGTTTAGGCCATTAGGTTCAAGAGTCATGGCCTAATCTATCAAATAGTGTTCGTGTCTGTACCGATCACTTGCGTCGGCGTTCCTAAACCGTCTGGTTTAGTGCTTTATTATTATTTAAAAGACAGTACATTTATAGCTGTTAAAAGGGATGCAGTGTTCTAAACAGGTATCCGAAAGGTGTGCCTGTCAATTCTCAGGAAGGAGCGTCCCGAATAAAACTTCGTCAAGTACCCCCGGGGGGATTACTTGCACACTGAGAACTACAGTAAACCCCCTCCTTACCTCGGTAGTACGGTCACCTCGTTATTACAGCCACTTTTTTTGCCGCCTGGCAAAAACCGCCATATATTTTCTTGTAAAAAAAAACCCTCGTTAATACGGCCAAACTTTTTTGGCCCATTGGTGACCGTATTAACGGAGTTCCACTGTATTATGTTTGTCCTTAACGCTGCTTTAAAGTCAGTAAACATGGTTGGGAAAGGATCCTATGAACAAACAAGCGATACAGGTTAACAAGAAATTCCAGGGTAAATAATGTTAACGTATTTAAGGCCCCTATTGCCGTACAAGTTATCAGTAACCTTAAAATTTGAAGACGACATAAAACGGTCACTAATCTCGAGAAAAAGCAATACTATCAATAAATTCATTAAGCGATTCCAAATTTAATCATTATCACTTTTTTTATCATTAGCTAGACCACATTATTTTCCCACAGAGTGAGGCATCTTCCCAGGCCTTCTCGGCGGCCAATAGTTTTGGGTGACGTATCTGAGAGGAACAATCAGGAACACTCCCACTTGACCCAAAACTTATCGGCCTCGAGACTACGCGAGAAAAACTCTCTGCTATTGAATTCTCGAAATCGAGAATTACACACTTTTCACAGGGACTGGCAGGGGGACCGTCAGTAGCATGGGCTGCTTGGTAGACGTGGGCAGATTTCCTGTTTTCCTTGATGCAATGACCACTAACAATTGATTCATGATTCTGTTGCAGGAATATGCTGCATCAACAAAATACTCGAAGACTCCTAGCGTCATGGTAACACGCCTCAGCGACAACGACAACGACATGAACGTTACCCTCCCCGTTATCATTGCGCAGTATAATTAATCAAGGCCTGGTTTATTGTTAAGTGTTTCCAAGGTAACCTAGGACTAATAATAGCTTAAGGCTACTTACAGCCAAGACTTTTTTCCAAATGTTATTTTTATTTCTTTGGTTGGTGTATTTTTCGTTTCGCTTCGTTTTGTTTTGTTTTACTAACATGCTAATGGGATTTCTTCGGTTTTGTGGGCCCCATTTTCGCTCAAACCTCTTTTTGAAGAAAGCTCTCATGTACCAGCTGCAGATAGGTAAGGGGTACAATAGAGTTTGCAGGTAATTAGTGCCTCGTATAAGAAGATCACGAAAGCAGCGCGGTAGATGCTGGCCTCCAACTGGACACAAAAACATTTTGTGTGCCCAATCAGAGACGAGTATTCGAATGAGTCGTAGAAATGGTTCGTTAAGAGAAGCATCTCAGAGGCTCTCTCGACCGTTCTTGACAACTTTCGCCACCGTTTTCTCAACCGACTGACCGCCACTAAATTCATGTCAAAAAACCCGTAACATCAAATTTTATCTAACTGACGAGTAATTCAGTTTTGACCCATATTAAGTTGATCCTCAACGTCCAGTGACGAATACTTCGAAAATGACAGTAATTCCTGGACTCTCAACATCTCCTGTAGTACCTCACTCGCAGAAGGCCTTTGCCGAGGATCAACTGCATGGCACTTTTTCATGATTTCTTGAAGCTCACTTTTTGCAAAACTGCTCCATTTAACACTACCAAGTAACTTTTCCACGACCCAAGGAATTTTCCAGATGTCAATTTTTTCATCGTATGCTGGTCTCAATTGAAAATTAAGTGGTTCTATCGCAGTTGGCAATCCCTGACTCTCCATTTCCATTCGTGACTGAAGTGAATCATTAGCAGGTCTTTTGTGGCATGCTCCTTTTTTTGTTACTTCTTCTAATCCATCCACGTCATTGACAACTAGGTGAAAGTCGTCTGTTATCAAATATTGATCGAGTAATTTTTCGAGGAATGGTGTATCACACATTACACGAACTCCGATTGGACTGTTGTGTAGGTACGCCAAAACCCTGACATAATCCACACACAGCTGAAATCTTGTTTGTATATTGTTGTAATGAAATAGCTCGGGACGACGCAAGAGCTTGTCTAGGAACCTTAGCGTGCCATGCTTGTAGTACATCGTGACCATCTGCAAAAATGAAAAAAAAGAAGCAAAGAAAGAAACTAAAACAATGAAGATGACTGAATTCTTTGCCTAAAAAAATAGGTTTCCAACAGAATAGAATTCCGGCTAACTACATCTAAATAAATTTGATTCAATAAACTTGTACCTCAATTATTGTTCTATAACCGTAGGCTATTGTTAAGAAACAATGCTTTGCAATATACATTGTATATGTCTAAACTCCACTCAAGAGACGATTTTGTACTTGGTGCCAGATCTTTACCCGGCCGCAAACTTGTTGTTCAATGAAGAATAATAACGCCTAGCGGATTCGAGAGGTGAGGCAAGTCTACTTAGCAAGACGCTTCCGACAGAATTTACAACCAAGACGATAATCTTACTTATCTAGACAGAAGTGTGTTGTAGACAAAAAGAAGTAAAAATTCAGACTACAACCTTTAAAACAACTTGAGTGATCAAATGTTAAAATAACGCGCATGAAATTAACACCTTAGCTGGAAACAGGTTGGTCCGGGGGGAAAATTAAATATGCAAGTGTGAAAAAAGTAAGGGAGAAACATGGAACGGGTTCAAGACAGCTAATTTTTTACTTATAACTCAATAAAAAAATGCTGCACGTTGATAAGCTTTCATTAAATGAAAAAATCTATTTAATTGCCGTTATATAAAGAGCTGTGTTTTGAGAATGAGAGTTTCGACAGCGGGGCCAAAAGTGTTATCGATCGTGCGCGTTTCGAACGATGATGATTGTGATTTATAATTATTAGTTTCACTCGGTATAAATCACCATTACAAATTAAATACTCGGCGAGCATTAGGTACCTGGAACTTCTCTGGACAATTGCCAATGACTCGAGTTGCAAATTCTCCCTGAATGAGCTTCAAATTAGTCAATCCTTTTACACAGTTTTCTCTTTTACTCTTTCGGGATGAGCATTTAATTAAAACAACGTCGTATCCATTCCATTCCGCGCGCCAAACGCGTTTAGTCACTCCATGAGTAAATCGCCTCCTGAGATGAACTTGAACTGCTATTTCAGAGCAGTTCAACCAAGGAATACAGTCTTTCCATCCGGGAAGTCTAAACATCTCTGAAGGACAGGGCACACAGCCCTCGCATGTAGCCCGCGTGTTGGTAGGACACGGCTCCGTCAAAGACAAGTTGATCCTTCGTGTGGACATGACCACATCCAAAAGCGGAACGTTACTTGTGGTAAATTCAGGCATCCAGTTGCTTATAGAATACACGTAGATAACAACTTTGCTGAATGCGATAACTTTTTCTTTTGCTTAGCAGAGGGGGAAATGGGACCTAAAGGGTGCAACCTCGTCACCAGTTTCCTCCCGGCTTGGGCGGTGTTTGGAGCGCTTATAAATTAATCATGTTTTTGTTGCGTTCAATCCTTTTAATCATGTTTATCGTAGATATTCTTTTAACAAAAGTAGGAACAAAAATCTTAAAAAGTTAAAAGGCTTTAACTCAAGTATCTAAAATTCATTCAAATTTTACTTAACTTGATATTTACTTATTGTGAGAATTTTAAACAGCTTCACAAGAACATGTCCCCAAGGTATTGCATAAGTCTGTTAATGTGTTGTTCTTAAACTAACGCGTCTTATTTGGAAACACCGAACAAAAAACAACCAAATGGATAAATAAGGTTGTTTGTGAACGATAGTGACGTAAACTGGAGTACACAGTTCAAGCGGCCGCGGAAGTTTGAAGATAGTATTGTTCATGTTTACTGTCAAATGCACTGTTAGAGCAACCTCGTCCCTAGGGCTTTTCCCTTAAAAAATGAATGGGGCGCTGCCCCACCCATTTTTGCTGTTAGAGCTTTTGCTGTTAGCTTTTGCTGTTAGAGCTTTGAGGCCTGTTTTTTCTTCTTTTAAAGCAGCATATGTCCAACGTGCAAGCACAACAGCGAGAATAAGGGCGCTTGCTATACGAATGATTCTGCGAACTGTTCAAAGAAAAAGCGAATCCTGCGTTCTGATTGCTTATCCGAACAGTTCAAATGCCCACTCGAGATTTCCGGCGTTGGCCCCACCGTACGTTCACTTGGCCACATCATGAATAAATTCTTTATCGACCAAGCTTGTTCAGCCAAGAAAACTGGATATTTTCAAACAAGTCGAAGTTAATTTAATGTAGTATTTTTTAGCGCTAGCAGAGGCCTTGTTCTCCCTGGTATTCCTCTTCTGCTAGCAGGGAACTGTAGCCCATGTAGTGAGATGTTAAAAAATTTCTTCTGCTGTCCATGTGTTTTCTTAGTTTCTGCAAGAGCGGATAAAGGCCCTTTATTCTCTCTTGGTTTCTAGTAGCACTTGAGTGTTGTATCATGTGTTGTATCATTCTTTGCTACGTTAAATAATGGTAGTTTTTTTATATATATATCGTTGCTTCAAATTGTCATCAGTCAAGAGAGAATGAGCTCATTATCTCTTGCATCAGTATATCAAGACAGGGGCATATACCGCGTCTCCCAAATCGTTTTTATGCGGGCGAGTGACTTGATCACTAAATTTGCCTTTGATATCAGTATAATGACATAATAATTCCTCTTGGTCTAAAGAACGTATTCCTTAGCAGTGGCGGATCCAGGGGAGGGGCCTGGGGGGCCTGGCTTCCCCCTTTTTTAGACCAAACTGAGGCCTTATCTCAGGGTCTGGATGACTGCCCTCCCCCCCCCCCCCACCCCCCTCCTTAGCTCAAGGTCTGGATCCGGCACTGCTTAGACAGAATTTTACGTTTTTCAACTGTGGCCAAATCGCTGAAAACAACTCATTTTGTTTTAGAAACAATAGTGAGATTTAGAGTCCGCGATACGGCAAACGGCAAACGGCAAACGTCTTATTCATGTTGGCACTAGCGTGCGTAGCAGGCGCTTGGAAGCAGTGGGCGCAAGAACGAACGGCCGCACGAGAGGGAGACAGTTCTTTCTTGCGCCTGACTACTTCCAAGCGCCCGCTACACAGACTATGTTGGCACTGATTTCTCAAAAAAAAAAAACAATTCCTATGGATGAAAATAATGTGAAACTACGAAATTGTTTTGTAGAAGAGACAAGTAAAGGGAAAGTTTGGTCACGTGGTGCAGGTCTACTGTCCCGTTTGCCGCAGGGTTTCAGATACAAGCAACTGCACCTTACTTTAGCTATCCCCTATTTAACAATTCCTTAGTTTTCCAATTTTGTTTTTGTTCTTTATTTAACTGGAACAACTGCGTCGTTACGCACGTGCATTCCTTGTCACGGGAGCAGGAGCTCGGCCTCGCCACGACACAGCGGTTACATAAGCACAAGGCCTTCTATCATGCTTAGCCAATTACATGTCGCCAGTTGCAGCTTCACCGGTATAAAAGCGCGCCAATTCCGAAGACTCCCTTTGCACAAAACAGAATGGAAGAGGCTTCAATAATCAAACGGTTCTACGAGGCTCTGAGAATCAGTTGATTAATTTATAAGCTGACAGAAAAAAAAAAAAAAA